GCAGCTCCAAGTAGGCAGGCAACCACCAGTGGCTGGACCTCCACTTGATTCAGTGTAGCCCAGGGAAAAGGCAGAAAAACTGTACCTAGCCTTAGTATATGTCAGACACCACCACTAGGACCCCAGCAGAGCGACTGGTAAGCAGCCAGACCCCAAATCCCCCACGTGCCAGCACCTAAGGCCCCAGTACAGAAAGCTAGTGACAAGGCACCGTGCTCCCAGCACAAGAAGCTTGGGACAGTGCTCCCTGTGCTCCAATAGGAAAGTTAACTTTAAAAGCCAGGAAACTGGCAAACAAAACAAGCAAAAGGCAGAAAAGAACGCTGACCTTAGAGAATTATTATGGTGACAGGGAAGATCAAAAAACAAATTCAGAAGAGGACAGCACAGTCAATATACCTACATTTGAAACCCCTATGGGAAATATGAATTGCTTCCAGGCCCCAAAAGCCTTCTTGGAAGAGATCAAGAAGGATTTCCAAAGTCAAATAAGAGTGATAAAAGAAAAACTGGGAAAAGAAATGAGAGGTATGCAAGAGAGAGTGAATAGCTAGGAAGGACAAAAATTGACTGAAGAAAGTAACTCCTTAAAAAATGCAATTGGCTTCAAACTTCCTCCTGCCCGCACTGGGCTAGATCTTGGGCACTGAAGTCATGGACTTGAAGAACTCTGGCATGGTTACTCCCAAAAGAACTGTTTCATCTGTCAGCACAAGAAAAATTAAGGACAATGCTGCAGATTGGCACAATTTATTATCAAAATGGGAGACTCAACAAAATGGGATTTTCTGTTGCAAATAAATAGGAAACATCAAAATCAGTGTACTTAATGAAGATGAGGTAGAACTAGAATGCAACACCATTGCTTCTGGCTTTCATTCTCAAAAGGTACATCAAAAATATAATGAGGAATTTGGGATGTTGTGTAAGGAACTTCATGACAGTTTGGAAAACTTGGCTAAGGTACAGGTGAAAATGGAAAAGCTAACATCAACCACTAAAGGAACTTGTAACCTAGAAAATTACCATTATGGAAGTGGAAATTAGCAAACACCCCTTTTCCATACATGTCCCACTACCTACTTCTATGAATTTTCCCATAAGCTTTCAGAAATGTACAAGAAAAAAAAATACACCTGAAATGCATCATTGTGGAACAGCTTGCCCATACTACAGACCAGGATCTCATTTTAAGCTACTTATCCATGTGGTTGTACCAGCCCTATATTGAGAACAGCAGGCTATATGTGGAAAGCATCTTACTTGAAACTGGACATCGAGCATTATAATTTTTTCCAAAATCATTTCAGTAAACCCATACTCCCAGAACCACAATGAACCCTTCTTTCCAGGTCTTATGATACAGGCCCATTGCTGCCCCATACACTTCTTTCCTGGATCACAGTTCTCCTTCTTTTCTTGTTTGCACAATGAGATGCTTCACCTCCACCTGAACACCACTCTGGTGGTAACCTTTAAAGTTGATGATAGTCATCCATTCAGTACCTACTTTTCAAACCCTGACCCTCTTTATTTGACAAAAACTTCTAGGCAAACTGATCATATGTTTGACAGAAAATGTTTAGATCAGCATTTATTTCCACAATAAGTTCCAAATGGATTCTCAGCCTACTGTTTGGGAAAAAAACAAACAAACAATAACACATACACACACACACAGTGGGATGAAATCAGGAGAATGAAAGGAGCTTTCACAATTATAAGAAGCAGAATTGCAAACCAAACGATAGAGGCATAAAATTAAAATGCACATGTACAAACAAAACCAAGAGAAACTAGATTTGAGAAAATAGTTTAATCAAATAGTGGAATAAAATCTACTATAGAAACTGATACAAAAATATGAGACTAAGAATCATTTCCTAGCTAAGTGTTCAAAATAGAGGAACAAATGACTTTCAGAAGTAAGAAATGCAATTAACAAACAAAATATTACAGGAAGTCACTAAGAGAAATGAACATTTAACAATACTGGATTCACCTCAAATTAAATTTACAAACATAAAAAAAATAGATGCTGTTTAAGAAAGGAGTTCTTAATAAATACTGGTGGTAGATCTTTTCACTTGTCCAACCATTACAACAATCTGGAACTTTTAAAGAAAAGTCACTAAACTATTTGAACCCTTTGACTCATCTGTCTGTCTACTACAAGGCATGTAACAAAATAAGGTCAATGAGGGATTGAGGCGAGGGAAAGCCCCATGTGGGCACTTTGGGGAAGAAACAGAAAAGAGGGAAGATTTGTATGAACTTATGTACAGCAAAAAAAGCAGAATCAAGAGACATATTTCATAGAAAGAAAAATACTAAAGGCATTCAGGTTAAGGTAAATAATTAATATTAATCAGAATACTGATGAAATGTTTTTTCACAGGTTGATGGGGTTTTGGGGTATGGAAGGGTATCAGTTTCATTTGCTTAACTGTTTTTGTTAGAAAGGGGAGTGGGGGCAGAGATAAATATATAAATACTCTACTTTAGAAAAGCAAGAAATTAAAAAAAAACCAATCCTTTTTTCAGATATTTGTAATTGTTCATTATCCAGCTCTATTTTCAAGCCCTCAAGAGGTAGCATAGTCAATAATTTGCTGGATTTCAGAGTCAGAAGGTCTCTGATTTCAGATGCTGCTTTTTATACTTACTAGCTGTGTGGCCACAGGCATGACACTTAATACATCATCCAAGGGAAGATAACACCTATGATACCAACCTCATGGAATTATTTTAACATGCAAGCAAGTTAAAGTATATTAAAGCACTACAAATTAAAAAAATACAAGTGGTTGAATGGAAATGGGGTACAAAAATGCATTGAAGAGAAGACCTCGTTAAAAATCTGATAGCCTTTGTGTTAGTCAATATCTTTCTAGAACTTACGTAACCTCAGATGCTGTTGAATTCCTTTGCCTTATGAATAATGTCTTGGACAGTATTTGCTGGTGATGTCATCCACTTTCTTGAGTTCATTAGGAAGTCACAACAGATCATACCTAACTATCTTCACATATTGATTGACTAGGGGATTATTATCAATATACTTTATCCAAATTTCAGTAGAGCATTTGAAAAATTCCCTCATGATCTTTGTGGACAAAATTAAGATCAGATCATTAAAAAAAATTAAGATTTATCCAGGGATGAAAAAAGGATGCCCATTATCACCACTATTATTCAGTAGTGGACTACAAATATTAGCTTTAACAGTAAGAGAAGAGAAAGAGTTTGAAAAATTAGTTTTATTTCTATCATTCTTTGAAGACGATATAATGGTATACTTAGAGAACCCTAAGAAATCAACTGAAAAGCTACCTGAAACAACTAACAACATTAACAATGCTGTAGTCTATAAAATAAATCCACATAAATCCCAGCATTTCTAAATATTACCAACAAAGTTCAACAGCAAAGGGTAGAAAGAGAAATTCAATTTAGAAAAATAGTAAACAATACAATAAAATCAGATGAAGTGAGTAGACACAAGAGAATGTCGCACACAGTAACAGCCACCTTGTGCAATGACTAACGTTGATAGACTTAGCCCTTCTCAACAATAAAGGATCTAAGACATCTTCAGAGGTCTCATGATGGAAAATGCTATCCATATCCAAAGAAATCATTATGGAGTCTGAATGCAAATCGAGGCATAGGATTTGTTATTTTTTTCTTATGTATTCTTTTGTTACCTCTTTCTGATGGCTCCTCCTATTGTACCTAATTCTTCCTTATGTTGAATCGTAATATATGTGTGTAGCTTATATCAGATTGCAAGCCATCTTGGGGAAAGAAGGGAGAGGGAAAAATATTAAAGTAAAAAACTTACAGAAGTGAGCATTGAGAAATCAAAATAAATAAATAAAATTTTCATATATATATATATACACACACACACACACACACACACACACCACACACACACACACACACACACACATATATATATATATAATATATATATATATATATATATATATATATATATATATAATATATATATATGCGCACACACAATGGTAAATGCCTACAGTAATCTATTGCTTGATAAAATGAAAAATTCTAGCTTCTGGAATAAAAAATCAGGATTTGAAAAAAAAAAACTACTGTGAAAATGGGAAAATAATATTTCAGGAACTAGGCATAAACCAAGATCTTACACTGCATACTAAGATAAAGTGAAAGTGAGTACTTGATTTAGACATAAAAGATGATACTATAAACAAATGAAAAGGGCCAAAAATAGTTTACCTGTCACATCTAAGGAGTAGGAAAGAAGTCATGATGGAAAAAGAGATAGAGAACATTATAAAATGCAAAATGGATAATGTACATTATATTAAATTGAAAAGGATTTGCATAAACAAAACATATGCAACAAAGATTAGAAGAGAAGCAGAAAGCTGAGGAACAATTTTTACAGCCAATGTCCCTGATAAAGGCCTCATTTCTAAAATATGTAGAGAACTGAGTTACATTTATAAGGATACAAGTCAATCCCCACATGAGAAATGGTAAAAAGATATGAATAGGCAATTTTCAGAAGAAGAAATTAAAGCTACTATACTCATGAAAAAATGCTCTAAATTACTTATTGACCAGAGAAAAGCACATTAAAACAACTCTAAGGTACCAACTCACACCTACCAGACTGGCTAACATGACAAAACAGGAAAATTATAAATGTCGGAGATGATGTAGGAAAATTAGAACACTAATGCATTGCTGGCAGAGTTGTGTATTGATCCAACCATTCCAGAGAGCTATTGGGAACTATGCCCAAAGGGCTACAAAACTGTGAATAACATATTACCCAGCAATACCACAGCTAGGTCTGTAACCCAAAGAGATCATAAAATGGGAAAAAGACCCACATGTACAAAGATATTTAGAACAGTAAAAAGTGTGCTTGTGGTCACTCATAGACCAGAGCACAGACCAGGAAAGGAGTAAACACCTCACCCTTGATCATAGCACCTTGGAAGAATTGCAAATTTTCAGGTCCCTAGAAGTACCTCTGAAAACAGCTGCACAAAACCCCCAAAGCTGGGGACAGTACATTCTCCACACCGGAAGCAGATTCCTACCTTAACAAAGACTTTGCAACTCAAAGAATTAGCTGGGATCATAAGCAAGCAGTGCAAAAAGAGTCGGAGCATAGAATCTTTATTTGGAAACAAAGAAGTTCAAAACATACAATCAGAAGAAGACAGCAAAGTCAAAGTTCCTACATCCAAATCCTCCAAGAAAAATATGAATTGGTCCCAGGCCATGGAAGAACTCAAAAAAAATTCTGAGAAGCAAGTAAGAGAAGTAGAGGAAAAACGAGAGTGATGCAAGAAAATCCTGAAAAACCAAGTCAACAGCTTGCTAAAGGAGACCCAAAAAAATACTGAAGAAAATAACATCTTAAAAAATAGCCTAACCCAAATGGCAAAAGAGGTCCAAAAAGCCAATGAGGAGAAGAATGCCTTAAAAAGCAAAATTGGCCAAATGGGAAAAAAAAAGTCCAAAAGTTTGCTGAATAAAACTCTTCCTTAAAAATTAGAATGGAGCAATTGGAAGCTAGTGACGTTATGAGAAACCAAGACACTGTAAAAGAAATCCAAAAGAATGAAAAAAAAAGAGAAAACAATGTCAAATATGTTATTGCAAAAACAACTGACTTGGAGAATAGATCCAGGAGAAAGAATTTAAAAATTATTGGACTATGTGAAAGCCATGATCAAAAAAAATAAAAGAGCCTAGACATCATCTTCGGAATCATCAAGGAAAACTGCCTTGATATTTTAGAAGTAGAGGGCAAAATAGAAACTGAAAGACTCCACAGATCACCTACTGAAAGAGATCCCCAGAGGAAAGCTCCTGGGAATATTGTAGCCAAATTTCAGAATTCCCAGGTCAAGGAGAAAACATTGCAAGCAGCCAGAAAGAAACAATTCAAGTACTGTGGAAACACAATGAGGATAACACAAGATTTAGCAGCTTCTACATTAAGGGACCAGAGTGCTTAGAATATGATATTCTGGAGGGCAAAGGAGGTAGGATTACAAGCAAGAATCACTTACCCAGCAAAACTGAGTATAATCCTTCAGGGTAAAAAGTGGATCTTCAGTGAAATAGCAGACTTTCAAGCATTCTTGATGAAAACACTAGAGCTAATTAGAAAATTTGACTTTCAGATACAAGACTCAGGAGAAACATGAAGAGGTAAACAGGAAAGAGAAATTATAAGAGACTTATTAAAGCTGAGCTGCTTACATTCTGCATGGAAAGATGATATTTGTAACACATGAGTCCCTTGTCAGCATTAGAGCAGCTGGAGGGGGGAAAAATATATATATATATATATAACACACACACATATATATATATATATATATATATATATATATATATATATATATATTATGTATGTATGTACATGGATAAATGGATAGATAGATAGACAGATGATACAAGGTAAGATGAAGGGGGGATATCTGGAGAATAAAATTAAGGCATGAGAGAGGATTATAGTGGAAGAAGAAGAAATGGGGAGGTAGAATGGAGTAAATTATCTCACATAAAACAGACAAGAAAAGGCTTTTACAGCGGAGGGGAAATGGGGGAAGGTGAGAGGGAATGAGTGAATCTTATTCTCATTGGATTTGGCATGAGGAGAGAATAACATATACGTCAATGGGATATAGAACTCTATCTCACCCTACAGAAAATGGGAGGGAAGGGGACAAGAAAGCAAGAGGATGAGAGAGGGGAGGGCAGATGGGGGAGGGGATAATTAGAAGCAAACACTTCTAAGGAGGGACAGTGTCAAAAGAGAGAGTAGAATAAATGGGGGGTAGGATGAAGGGAAATATACTTAGTTTTTCACAATATGACTACTATGGAAGCGTTTTGCATGACTACACACATATAACTTGTATCAAGATGCTTGCCTTCTCAATGAGGGTGGATGGGGAAGGAGGAAGGGAGAAAATTTGGAACCTAAAATTTTTAAAACAAAAATTTTAAAAAAAATTGTTTTCACATGCAACTGGGGCATAATATATACATTAAATGGGGTATAGAAATCTATACTGCCCTACAGGAAAATTGAAGGGGAAAGGGATAAGAGGAAGGGGGAAGAGATAGAAGGGAGGGCAGATTAGGGGTATTCAGAATGCATGCCATCTTGGGGTGGAGGGAGGGACAAGATGGGGAGAAAATACGGAACTCAAAATCTTGTGGAAGTGAATGTTGAAAACTAAAAATAAATTAATTAAAAAATTAAGAAAAAAAATTAAGAAGAAAAAAAGGGTGTATATATGAAAACTAATTGGACAGCAAAATGACTTCTTTTTCATCTAGGTCAGGCTAGATTCTGTTCTATAGAAAATTATAGTATGTCCCCTTATCTTATATGGATTATTACTTTAAGTAGATTAGACATTTACAATTTGTCTGCAATGTACTGAAGTGGTTTTTTATAACCTAAGCGATTTACAAATTATGAATAAAGTTTTGCATGCCCTTATGGGGAAAAGTCATAGAAGCGTTTGAAACGATAAAATGTACATTTAAAGGGGGATTTGTTTGTTATGCTATAGACTACATTTATGTGGCATAAAGTGTTTTATCAGGGAGGTAGACAACAGATGATGATACTATTGTAGCTAACTTGCCATATTATTCATGGTCTGATTAAAAAAATACTTAAAATCAATGGTATTAAAACATGAAGTAGCATGGTCTTTTAGAAGAGACAGAATTTCACAGGGCATTTCAAACCCTTCACTTCATATTTGTAAATAGAAACAGAAGGAAACTGAGGTTCAAAGAGATGGAGGCACTTAGTGGCAGAGGCAGTACTAAACCACTGGTCCTAAATCCTTCCTGGCTTATCTATCTACACAACAGCCTTGTCTTTGTTGAGAAGGATATCTTTTGGATATCTTTTACTTGTTGGCCTTTATCATTCAATGGTTCATAGTATCATCCATGTTGATTTGTGTAGGAAGATGATACTGCACAATTAATATTATGGTTGCACAAAGAGCAAATAGAGTATCAATTTTTAGAGAGCAGGAAAAAAAACAACTTTGGAATCCAATGTTTTGTATACCTTGTGGCTTTTGTACTATAAACCTGAATTTAATACAAAATATTAAAGTAACCAGAAGAAATATCTAGGGTGGTGATCAACCCCAGAATATCATCATTTGTCAACGTACCAGAAAACTCACAAATTCTGTGTTTTTTTTTTATATAGAATTGGGGTTATTCACAATTAATGGGTATAAAAATAAATAATGGTAAGAAAGCAAATGTTGGTTTCAGGAAAGTGAAAAAGACTACTATGCCCCAGGACCAGGGCTCTAGCATACTCATTCTTAATGTAAATGCCTGGTTCCCTTGGACAATATGATTTACATAAAAAAAAAACATGCAAAAGTTTCACTATTAGTAAAAGTCAAAGACAACAGTTGTCACTTTATTATTGCTCTAAGGTTCACTACAAAACAATGAAGATATGAGGTTTATGACAATAGCTCACTGATTCCTCAAAAGTTTAGAAGAACTGAGAGATCACCAATTTTGAGTCTAATGAAGGGATAAGCGATGCCGTTACTGCTACACTTACCTATGAAAAGATGAATTTTTATCATTTTTTTTTGAGGAACAGAAAATGCGGTGGAAAAAATACATGTCTCATAGTGACAGATGAATATTTGAAGGAAAGCAGATATATTTTATAATAGCAAATAAGTGTAATTAATTTTTCTTTTTATTCCTATCCCTAGTTCTTTTTAACGTTATACAATTCTAACATTAATATATTTATACATACATTATGATTTTGGCTTGTATAGAAAACGTTGTTGGTTATTATATATTTCATAAAGTCAATGTTTACATTCTGATATCTTCCTTGAACATATTTATGAATAGCCTTATCACTAATACGCCATACTCTTCAACTGTCCTTATATTTAATTGTGTTCTAGACTATAACTTTTTCTTGATTCACTTCATAGACACTACATCTTCAATGAGATTACTTAGTATAATTATTTTTATTAAAATTGGATTATGAATTTTTTTTAAAATGTGCTTAAAATTTTATATGTAGTTAACATGTAAAACTATTACTTATTGAGGAACAGAACTTCACTTTTTTGCAATTCAATGTTTGTCATAACAATTTCACGTATGTAGCTATAGATAAGACTACAAATGAACAAAATGAGGGAAAGTGAGGTTCAGTTGTCACATGACTAGCTATAGGGAATTAAAGTATTTTATTGGAATATAACCTTTTTAGGCAGTAGTAATGTATACTTAAAATTAAATACTGTCTTTTCTGCCATTGTGATTTCTCATTTCTTCTAAGGAAGATTTACATAGGTCATCTCTGATATATGATGTAATGTACAGTAGTTAAGAGGGCATGATAACTCTTTGCTTTTAGCTCTGTTAGCATGAGCATGTCATTGAAGCTTTCTGCTCCTCAGTTTCATCACTATTCAAATGAGAGTAACCAGAATATCCACACTATCTTTCACACAAGGTAATAGGTCAACTGATTTGAAAAAAAAAGTCTTATAAATGTGAGATGAATTTATTATTGCAAGCCCAGATCATTAAGATTCCAAATGGCCCAGCTGGTAGGATTAAATGTTAGGAGCTAAGTCAGAAAATCTCCTGTCTAAAGTTTAACTACCTGAATCACAAAGTTGGGGTTGGGAGCGCATGCAAATACTGACCAAAAATCTATGATTATATGCATTTCCTTTCAATCTCTATTCCCTGGTCCCTCTAAGTCCTGTGGGTTTTGTATTTTCTTTAGAATAAAGCAAAAGCTTTATGAACCTTTTAAAATTTTGAAGAGATTTAAAATATACATATTTCCAAAGCTTGGATAAGTGATTTACAGAGTTTTAAAAAGAATGTGGGCTCTGCTCTCTTGCTCTTTTTCTGTTCTATCTTTATACATTCATACAGTCCATCTGTCCGTGTGTGTGTAAGTATGGGTACACATGCTACAGTTATAGAGTCTCATATTTATCATTTATTTTTCCCATATTTAAGAATCAGAAATAAGTTATATTGCTAAATATAATATATTTTAAAAGTATTAAAGACTTTTCATATAATTTGGTTAAATATATTTAGAATAATTTAGAAACCTGAAAATTGTTATTGAAGCCTACATAAAGAAATTTTTGGATAAAGCAGATAATAATAACACAAAAGATCTTGTGGCTGTTTTTAGTAAATGGCTTCAGGATAGTGAACCTACAAGGATAATTAAGTAACTAATCAAAAATAAATACGTTCCTACCCATTTAAAGTATAAAATGGAAACAGAAAAAAATATATATGAATTTTAAGATTGCTCTTTCATTATTTTCTAAAGTCACTATTTCTTCAAGTTTTTAAGTCTTACCTATTTGATCCATGGCAGCTCCACCCAAAGCAAATTCTGGATCAAAAGCACTCTCTGAACTGCTGGTTAGGGTTGACTGGGACTGATAAAGTCCCTTCTCTCTTCCATACTCAGTAATTAGTTCATAATGACTATGTATAAAATAAAATATAAAATGAATTAAGTCTACATCAACAAAGATAAAAATTATATGCACCAAGTATTGGTGTATCTCAAACCTTACATAATCAGATTATCACCAAAAAAAAAATTGTTTTCATAAAGTCTGTAGAGCATAATGAATCATTCAAGCTAGATGTGATACACTTGTCTTAAGAGTCACAGTATTACAGAACTGTAAGTTTAGGACTGAGAGGGTCTATATTTGTCATCTACTCTAATCTCTTTATTTTATAGATTAAGTAACTGAGTCCCAGAGAAGGTAACAGTTGCCCAACATTACACATATAGTGAGAGGCATGATTTGTCCCCAGGTCCTCTGACTCCAAATTGACCACTTTTTCCCCTGTACCAAACTGCCACTCTATAAATTCTAATGTTGACTATTAATATTTATGATTTATTCTTTTCATTTATCACTCCTTTGAAGGCATCTAAGACATATTGTGATTTTCCCTAAAACTAACTTTGGGTCTACTATAACTGAGAGGTGTCAGCAAAGGTTAAAAAACAAACAAAAATTACCTTTCTAAATCAGACAGTATAATAAATTACAGAACTTTTGTGAAGATCAAATAATAAAATGTATGTAAAACATTGGAAAACCTTAAAGAATTATAAAAATGGCAGGTTTCATCATTATTATTTCTGAAAATTCTGATCTCAGATTACCTGACTCTACTTTCTACCCTGTCTCTTGCTCATGTCCTCCCAACTTGGACAACCTAACTTTGCCATTTGCCTAATTTCTTCTTAGTGACTTGAAATGTGCTTGTCAGATGCTTGCTATGAAAGTCCCTGCAGTCTCAAGTATACGGGGGGAAAAAAACCTTTTAAATGCAATTGTATAAAGATAATTAGAACTATAATGTTAGAACTTACATTGGGCGACAACTGATTTTGGCATGGTCGTAAACTGTCTATCGAGATCTATCTCGGCAAGAGACATCAACATCATATTGAAGAAGAAGACTGACTATGCCTACTGGTTCACCAATGGCAGCATGCATAATGGATGTCCTATAATAACAAAGAAACAACTGACATTTAAGAATTTAAATAAGTCACATGTAATCAGACTTTTCTATGTTTCAACAAGAGAATATCTCATATTCTTTAGAGTGAATATCCATGTGGAGCATTCTTAGTGATGGATATGAGTACTTTTATTGCTTATGTGAAGCAGGAAAAATGGCAATTAAAAGCAGAAGAAAAGAAAGAAAGAATTGTTTTTGTCCCCTTAGAGTTTTTACAGGGATTGTCAAATTTAAGGCTTTATAACAGACAAGTAGACAGTTTGTCAAAGCCATGTGTGTGCAACAGTTAAGGACTTTCTCCTGGGATCCTACATAGTTTTTGTAAGAAGAAAACCAGAATTAAACCAAAAATTTGATCTCCAGTATTGTTGCCCGCAAACAGATTGCACACCGAATGGAGAGGCACGAAATAACTTATGACATGGGCCAGGCGGAGTAGAATTACTGACTCAGTTTATTCATCTGAGGGCACAGAATATAGAGGGAAGATCTAGCCTAACTTCAAAGAGTCTTCCCCGTGAGATACTCCCCAGAACTTCTGCTGAGGATGTGACAATCATGAATTTCCTTCTTATCAGGGTTCCTAGATTGGGCTGTAGATTCCAAGGTTTTCCCAGGGGCCTTGGCGCCACCTGCATAGAGGAGTAAATATGTAAATCTAAGGTTCAAAGAGAGAGAAGGAATGTCTCAGAGACCTCTTTATCAGGAAGGAATGGGGGAGCCATACCACTTAATCTATGAGCCCTTTTGGGTAAAAACCTGAGCAGAGGTCAAACTCTGCCTTGGATCTTAAACCCTTATCAGACTCTTAAGATCGGCCCTCAACACAGTACCAAGATCCAAGAGAAGCATAAACAGGGAAAAAGAGAAAACATAAGGGAATCAATAGAGCTAAACTGTTTACAT